GTGTGTGTGTGTGTGTGTGTGTGTGTGTGTGTGTGTGTGTGTGTGTGTGTGTGACGACAGCGGCGGAAATATTTTTCCCTATTCAAAATGGCACCATCTCAAATCAGGAAGTAGAGAAAACAACTACGACGAATAAGTTGGATAAATATCCCCGTGTATGTGGCTTTGACGCGAGCGGTCGGTAAAAAAACATCGGGCGGTGCGTTTGCGGGTCGGACAAACAGTAAAATACACATTCAAGGTAAGTGCTGATCGAATATTTCCCCCAGAAGGAGAGCCACACATCGGCTTTATAGCGAGATGCATTTTGGTAGCCTCTCTCGGGAGCGCTCGTTTATTACGACACGCTCCGGCAGTTTGTCAAACAGGGCGCTGAAGGGTTAGCGTTGTTATATAGTACTTACCGTAGTATTTTGATTGATCATACAACCAAACAAGTTTATCAGCCATTAACGTACACAACATTTAGAGGAGTTTTTAGGCTGTTACACATTTCTAAAAAAGAGCAAAACGTGTACATGAAAGCTGAAGAATCACTTCGAAGGAACGAATTTTGTAACTCCTTCTCTCTTACGGGCTCAAGCAGTGTGCAAAACGAACATACCCAAAATGGCTATTAGCATTGCTAACAGTTAGCGCTGTTATTTATCTAAAGTGACGCTTGTATTAGCAAAATAATAAGACATGTTGTACTAATTTAGCTTCACCGGCTGTTGTTAGAGAAAACAAAGTGTTAACATGATAGTAGTTGTTAAGTCTGGCTTTGGTTGCTTGTTAGCTCTTTGTAAAGTGTGTCGTTCATGAAGCTAACAGTAGTAGCACACTGTACTGTACGATAAGCTTTGGCAGCTTTCCTTTGTGCTTTGTACAAAGCAGAGTATCTTTCTGCTTTAGGGGAAACCACAGCTCAGTTCGGTCCTTGTTTTGGGAGAACCTAACTGAACAGTTACAATTGTGAAAGCAAACATAAGCAGTGAAAGTTGGGTTCTGTCTTAGGAACAACAAACTTTGCTATAAAATGTAATACTAGCTAACTTTTGGAATGTCAGAGCTATAAATAAGGTTTTCTTCCTAGGGGGGCTGTGTTGTAACACTACTACCTATAAATAACTTCACTTTCAGACTATTCAGAGGAAAAACAGGTCTGTAAATAATAAAAGCAGTGGTCAGATGTTACAGAAACGTCATGACTTGAGGATGATTTAGAAAAGTGAARTCCTGGCAGAGAAATGGAAATGACTCTCACAAAGCTGTCCCCTCTGGTTCTTTTTGCTTTCCTGCAATTTTCACCCCTTTGGTTTCCACCGTGTCTGTCGCCTGMAGCAAAGGCTAGTTGAGCCTTATGCAAGCCTTGACACAGCCGGTTGCCATGGTGGTTGACTATTACTCTAATTATGCCATCCCAACTGGCTGTAAAAATGAACAACATGCTAGGTTCCCCTTTCAGGCTAGTCAAGCGCCGCGTCTCTCTCAAACACCTCTGTGACACTCAAATAAGATGTCCAGTCTGTTTTGTAGCCACAGTTGACCCCCTTCCCAGACTGTAAAATGTCCAGAAAATAGGGGTGCACCAAAAAAAAAAAAAATCGATTCACATCAGAATCGTGATTCTCGTTTACAACAAGTTAGAATCTATTTAAAATATCCCAAAATCGATTTAGAAAGAAATCAAACAAATCCAATGGTTGTCAGCCCTCATTGTMTCTACGTGGGACGTCCTGACGTCACCATGCAGCCGGTTCTGGAACGAATGAATGAGCATAAAGCACCAAAATGAAGGGGAAAGAGATTTAACTGGGGTTTGTGCTCATTTAGGTTTTTATCAAATGAGTCAGTTTGACATRAGCTGCACTGTGTGCAAGGTTTGCAAAATGAAGATGAAGCACTTTAATGGTGCGTTCACACCGAACACGATTTCAGCGTCAGGAGCATCAGGTTTACATGCAAAGTCTATGGTGGACGCGCGTTCTTCTTCCATGAAGTAGCTCTGTTGTCCTCCATCCATATTTTCAGTTCCAGGCTGAGTCATTTCTACCTTCTCCTCTCTGTCAACGCTCTCT